CTGTAGTCACTTGGACTATTTTAACGATGTCTTTAACTTTTCTGGGCCGGCCAGTTTCGATCCCTTAAGAAGCCTATGGAGGAGTGATCCAGCTCTCAGATTTAATCAAAAATATCTTAATTTGTGTTCTGAAGATGAACAAAAGTTTTACGGGGTTGGAACAACATGAGGGTGAGTAATTACTGACCGAATTTTTCATTTTTGGGTGAACTAACCCTTTAAGCTGCTTTGAAACAATCCATACAGTTAAAAGTGCTTTATAAATTAAGGTGACTTGACTTGACTTGTGTGAGCGACAGTAATTTACCTTCGTTGCAATTAACACTCATCAGAGAAGAGATTTGGCAAGACATTTTTATTAAAGATTATGAGGGCACATACATTTTTTTTAAATAATGATGTTAATAATGAAAATATAATATATATAAAAAATAATAATAATGGTGCACAGGTAAATCATTTATAATAAATAATGCTATATTCCATTTAAAAAAAATTTATTGCATGGAGACTTTAAATTCTTTAATTTACCGTTCGCAGGCCCCTCCCCCAAAACGGCTATTGTCCTATCACACATCATAGCAACCGTTACTATGTGAGCAGGTCCGTCAAACATTGACTCCAAGCAAGATGGTGAAGTGGTGCGGCCACGGCGTTTGTAAATCGTACACTAGTAGATACCCCGAGAGATTGTCTGGAGGAGTTGTTCTTTCCGTTTCAAAAGCCGAAAACACAACGTGAGCGGTGCCTACAATGGATAAAACAGTGTGGACGGCCCCACTCCAAGTTAAATGTGTCGAACATGGTTAACTCGCGTGCAGCGTGCGTGAGACTGAGACACTGAGATTAGTCAAAGACACATGGAGAAAGCAGATCAAGAGGATCCACAAAGGAAGTACGTTTTCTAAAGTGTTGTTGTTAACATGATATTTTCGGGGGGAAATTATCAGCAGTCACTAGCAGTGCAGGCAGCACCTGTAGACTAAGTTATGTACAGTTTAGTACGTTAGAGGAGCATGAAGCTTACTTGACAACATCAGTTCATATCAATATCGTAACGAATAGAAATAATGTATGGTTATCTGCATCTTTCCGTCTATTATGTATAGTTACTTTTTAAACACGAAAATCGCATTCAGCATGACACGCAAGCGGTTGCCGTGGTAATGAACAACCTGCTTGTTAAAGCGAATGAATAATCCTGTATCTGAGGCAAAATTACTAAATATGCAGCGCGAGTTATATATTTCTAACTCCAAACAATTAGCCACTGAAACAGCTTATAAAATCTTCTTCAAGGCTGTGATGGTTGCATAATGCATTTGAGGTAGCAGTAACGTTACAGGTCATGGGGTTTCTCAGATTTCGCTTGAGACCGGTTTGAGAGCTTGAGAGCATTATTAGGCTCGATAGTAGTCGTGTCTCCTTCATTGCGTATTTTTATATTTTGAATATATCCCTCCACTGCATACTGTAACCCCTTTTGCCTCGATCTGGAGGATATCGCGGAGGTATTGCTCCAAAAAAGGTCACTGACGCACCTCTTCCCGTCATGGCAATCTGTGGCGCTGGTCGTGTTTGACCATTTGTTTGACGGGCGTAGCAACAATAACTAGGGGGCGTGGCTTTTGCGAACGGTCAATTGAGCAAAGTGAATGTATCACACAAATTAAAATAGAAACAGTTAAGTATTGAGAGTTGAATTATAGTTATTGGAGGGTTTTCATTCTTTAAAAGGAGAAAGGAAGTAGCAACGATATAGTTCTGAACATAATGGGAAGGTAAATATGCTGATGCTTATTAAAATGATCATTACTGGCATGCAGAAAATAGAATTGTTCAGTGGTGATCCATGAAAGGGTGTTTAAAATATTCCACTTCTCACTTCAACAGTTTGCATAGATGTCTTCGTTGGAGAGATTCTTTTCGAATGTGCATTTAGGGCCAACGGTGCAGGTCTCCTCCTTATTTGCATATGTATTTGACTGATGGCCTTTTGTTGAAGACACATTTGCATAAATGTCCTGATCTTGGTTTGTTTCCTGAAATGCATTTAATGAGCTGTGAACTTGTACTTACTCTGTTAATTCACTCACAACAGAACATTGAAAACAATGAAGCACTCATCATGTGTAACACGTAAGTGACAGTGCAGTATTAGCCCAGTATCAGTAAAAAATTGCACTGTAAAATAATGGTAATCTACTGGTTGCCAGTAATGTACTGTTAATTTACAGCTCTCTACCGTTAATTTACAGCTCTCCTTTTTTACAGTATATGTTACCGTAAAAATACCATGGAAGGTAACTCATATAAATTGGGAAACCGATTGCTTCAAAAAGTTTGAGTTTAAAAAATAGTATTTATACTGATAGATAGTACTGTGAACTTACTTAATTTGAGTCCAATGAAAAGGAATATCTCTTAATATAAAACTGCAAACACCTAATGTGTAATAGTGAATTAATTAAAAACATGACTTTAACTCAAATCTTTGCGGTTCGTATTTAGCGAACAATAGCACACATGTATGTGCTAAAATACTTAGCAAGGAGATCACTGCATTAGCAACTACACAGTTACTGCCTTTAAATAAAGCAACAGGTAGCATAACATCAGTATTTCTCTGCTCATCTTTGACTGAGGCACAGGATCTACTCTCCAGCACAACGGTGACCCACAAAACGAATGGATTAAACTAACAGATCTCTCCTATATCATCTTGTGCTAAAACACATCAATTTAATATTTACTCTCCTTTTCAGTTATTGACTTTGCATAACTTTTTTCTATGAACTTTCACTAATATTTCAGTGAAATTAACTTCTTTCGTTTAGTAACTGTTACGTTTTACAGTATATTACTGTTTTTCCTTGATTTTACGGTAATATACTGGCAGCTGTGGTTGCCAGTAAAATTGCTGTTATTTTTTACAGTTTGATGCCGTAAATTAATTTACAGTTGATTACCGTTAAATTACACTTCACTCTGTTTTTTATTTTATTTGACACATTTAACCCCACTGCAAAGTCTTCAGTTTCAAATAAACACGTGTGTGTCCACACTACTGAGTGTTGGAGTAATACTGAAGCAGTGTTGAAGTTAATGATATTATTCAGTGATTAATTAACTGATGATTGAGCATTAGTGATGAACACCTGATGTCAACAAGCAGAACCACTGAAGGACAGAGGAACAACAAGAACGGAAAAAAAGAGAAACACAAACTACAACTGACTTCCAGCCACAGAGACATTACATCTCTGAAGATCTCAGCAGAGGATTAAACAACTAAAAAAAACAGCATTACCAGCTTCACTTATTACTAACCAGATTGACTTTATTTATTTATTCATATGTCTACAGAAATTCCTATTGAGAATTAACAGAGTTTTAGATGTTGTTTTGTTTAATTTGACGTTACAATTAAGGAGATCAGTGTTTGGTTTAGTTGGGCTCTTGACCCTTGACTTTAACATTAGTTTTTTCTTTGGCTGGTATGTGTTTTTAAGACACGTTTGTTGTGGCTGAAACAAAGCCTACAAAAATGAGATCAGGTGTTGGTGATTGTGTTTTGATTATGACATCATTACATAATGTTTGGATCACCAATCTAATCCCTTATCAAAAATGTGTTGTTTTAATGCACCCAATTTTACATTACTACACTGTGAAACTACAGCAAATAACAATCAGTTATGAAGGATTTTAAAACTCATCGTTCACTAAAAACATTTGTACTACTGTCAGGCGTTGTGCAGGATGCAGAAGACAAGGACAAAAGGAACTCAATTTAGATGCTTTATTTACACATTTAGCTTACAGAGATGAAGGGAAACATTCCAGGACTTCAGTTCGCACAACTAAACAAAGACGACGACCAACAAAGACAAGCTGAACTGAAGCAAACTAAATACAGAGACTGATGAACAATAACGAGGTGAAGACAGGTGAAACAGATGATGATAAACAAGACACAGGTGACAACAATGATGACGGGCAGTGTGTAAACATGAGGGATGCTGGGAAGTGTAGTGCAGAGACAAAGACAGACTGGTGCAGACGATGACTGTGACAACTACGGCTTCATTTAGACACACACAGACATCAAGAATCTGCCAATTTTTTTGGTACTATGCTGGTACCCATAATGCATTACAGTATGGACATTTTGATTGTCACCATTGTTGATATTCATACGGCGATTCTTGATGTCTGTGTGTGTCTGGCTGATTTAGAAGTTAAAAATGTTTTGAGCATTAACTGTTTTTTAAATCCTTCATATTTCATGGTTGTCAAAACTCTGATAGATCTCCATCTGTAAAATCATAGTGGCACCACAATCAAAAATACAATACATCACCCATATAAATACATTAAACAATGAACGAGATCAGTAAATCGGGCCACTAGATGATGATTGTGACTATTAACAAACAACCATTGTCATCTGATCCTGTTTTCTTTCCTTCAGTGATTCTGCTTGTTAACAGCAGGTGTTCATCAGTCTCCGAATTAACTCACTTGTTTTTATTCACTTCAAGTGGACTATATTAGTGAACTATAGACCCCTTTTGCGCCGATGTCACAGTTACGTCACTGCGCTAGCTGGAGGCAAAACGAACGGACAACTGGAGGCGGCTAATACAAACCAGCACAGATTCGGCTACATAATAAAGAGCTTAAATTATTATTATTATTATTATTATTAAATGTCATCTTGTTGTGTTGTTGGGTGCAAGAATCAATGGAAAATGAATTTGCTGTCTCTGGAATTTTTATTTCTAGAAAATATCTATCTATCTATCTATCTATCTATCTATCTATCTATCTATCTATCTATCTATCTATCTATCTCTATCTATCTCATGAGAAACATATTAAGATACTTACACTTCTGTGTGGTTTTTTGGACCTGCATATACCAAAAAAAAGGGAAAACATTCTCATTTATCTCAAATAATGTATAAAATATTTTATATCATTTACATTTCTAGCAGGATCCTACCTTCTGTAAATCAGAACAATAGGAATTGCACATAAAATCAATGAGAACAGTGCCAAAACTGCGAGGAAAGGAGTGAATGACATGCCTGCAAAAACAAAGAGAACTGACAAACATGGCTTTTGTGCCTGTTCATTTCATCTGTTTACATAACTAATATAGTTTTTCTCAGTCGCTTCGGCTCATTTTTTTGAAACAGTCATAACATTCTTTAAACTGTAACTGTGTTTTGGTAAATGAGTACTGCATGTCTGTAAAATGTAGTAACTCACCCAAAGCATTTAATTCGTGTTTCAGTTATTGTGTCCTTAAATTGGTCAGTGCCACCACAATGAAAAATTTTTTGTCATCATGTGAGCTGCACTGTCAAAATGTTTAGATGTTTCACCATGGTAGTCAACCCACTGTTTATATACAAATTTAATTTTTCCTAATTTTTGGTGACACTGACTGACAGATTTGTCTAGCTGAATGCTATTGTGTATTACACTAAGCTTTTTAGATACAGATTTCAATCAGATTTCAACAGAAGGTAAAAGTTAACTGGAAAAAACCTGAATAGTACACAGAAAAATAATACGCACATTTGTGTGTATTGTATACAGCACATTCATTTCATTTTTGCATGTTTAGAATTGTATAAAACTACACTACCTCTTTTGCACATGTGCCAAAACATGTGTAATTTGCTAAAACAAGAAACTAATTATTCAGAGACAAATAATCTCATTTGAGAATTGAGCCAAAGTGACTGAGCAAAACAGTAATGTACAAATATATGGTGAATCCGTACAGCAGGGTTCCTCAAATCCGGTCCTAGAGAGCCACTGCTCTGCAGAGTTTAGCTCCAACCCTAACAAACACACCTAAACAAGCTAATCAAGAGCTGTGTCCCAATACAGAGGCTGCATCCTTCAAAGGACACGAAGATCAGAACGAGCGTTGTCAAATAGGACGGTCTAGCCTACGGAGGATTGTTCTTGACGCCTAGCAATTGTGACAGCTGCTGTTGATGAGTGGCAGTAACATTTGTATTGGACTTTTTTGAAAGTTATATTAAAGGGGTTGTCTAATACTATTTCATGCATTCTGACATATTTACACTGTTAAAGAATTGGATTCTCATGCTAAACATGGCCAAAGTAAAAAAAAAACGTGTTGGACGTATGACGGAGTATTTCTGTGCCAAATACACTCCTTCAGGGTTCGTATAAGTTTCGGAAATAATTTTTCCGAGTATGGCCCTGTATGATTTCATCAAGGGTGGAATTCCTTGTATGGGCACTTCTCCTGCAAGAGCGTGCGCACACATCAACCAGGGCTGCGTTTCCCAAAACCAACGCCTAAATTGATTGTAGAACAATTGCCACCAATGGTCTCTATACAATAAACTTGCTTTTGGGAAATGCAGCCCAGAGCAAGAGCAACGCCCATCAATGTGCTTCGTTCGTTGCTCGAGAAAGATTTGACATTTTGTTTTTATACCACGAAATCAACAATATCACCAAAGAAGAGTGTTTTTGGTTGTGAGGGAAAGACAAACCTTGTTCAGCTTCCCAAAGAACCCAGCGTTAGGGAAACAGTGGATGCAGTTTGTTTTTCCGGGGCAGCAACGGAGTTGTGCCAAGTGTGTTTGTTTGTTCCCGGCATTTTGAACTGCTCTGAACGGTCAACATTTGAACTGCTTTAGAGCTTTTTTCTTCTTCTATTTTTACATTTTGTATCATTAGATATTTGAGTAAGCTGAAATTCAATACTTGATTGTTTTGAGAGAATTTGCTGAATTACACTTTTAAACATATCTGTCGTCACCAGCGCGCAATGAGTTGTATCCTTCATTTCATGGGAAACGAAGGACGCATTTGGAGGCCACATCTAAAGGAGCCTTCGAATTGGGACAGCCTTCGTCGTGGTGAAGCAATGGGCTTCGAATGCGACCTTTGAAGGATGCAGCCTCTGAATTGGGACACAGCTGAGGTCGCAGAGTTACTAGACAAATTGCAGGTGAGATTGATTAGGATCTGAACTAAACTCTGCAGGACAGTAGCCCTCCTGGGCAGGATTTGGGGAAACCTGCTGCAGTCTCAAGCACAGACTGACCTGGGACATTGATCTGTAGGATTGTGGAGTTCCCTGCACCATGTTGGTTCTGTGCCTCACAAATGTATTCCCCACTATTATTATGGGTCACAGTAAAGGAAAGCACACGCGAGGCACCCACTTCTTCCACTATACCTTCCTTCTTCATGAACCACCTGTGGACCGCTGGAGGGTTGGCATTACTTTGGCAACTAAGGGTTACATTATTACCAAGCCAGCCTGTAAGAGAGATCTGTGTTTCCTTAGGAGGATCTGTGGGCCAGAAAGAGAAGAAACTGAGTATTTTCAGAATGACCACAAAAAGAGAAAAGCTGCAAACTGTTGGGTTAAAACCTCACACTCCACATTGAGGATGACGGTCTTGTGGCTGAGCAGGGGTTTGTCCTGTCTGTCTAGCAGATGCATGGAAACACAGTTCACTTTCAGCTCATGATGGTGGAACGATGGGACGAAGTTCAAAATGGCAGAAACATTCTGTGTCCCATCAGCATTCAGCTGTGTCCATTGTGTTATCCCACCTAATGCAGGATCCCATGTTACATTTGGAGGGTTACTGGGGCAAGGCGCTGGAACAGTGCAAGTCAGATTCCCCACCTCACCCTCCCTGAGTCTCGGCACAATCACATACGGCTCAGCCAACGAATCTATCAGGATATAAAGAGGGGAAAGAGTGATGGTAATGGTATTCATTTGTATAGAAACTCGATTTACAAATAATTACAGTTTATTTCAAGATGCCCTTTGTTACCGTGTAATTAGGTAATATTACAGTTTTTTACAGTCGCTATATGAACACATTTCTCAATTAATTGATAAGATAACAGTACAATTGGTAAAGACTTTTGGAAAACCAGAACTCAGACGTGTCTGTTCTAGTTCGCAGCTAAGAACAGCTAACATAGGTAGTGTCTGTGTGAATGACGTAAAGAAAACTTTTTGTTTTGCCATGTCGTGAATAACATACGCCAGCATAAGACGACAAGGGAAAGTCTTTAAAGACGCTGATTCGTTCAGTAACAAACCAAGGGTAAGGGATGGGCATATATCAGATACATGTATTGAAAATACCTAGGCCTATTTGAAATACAAAATACTATTTAATGAAATTTGTATTTAAATACATTTAAGTTTAGTATTTTTGTAAAGTTAAAGGGATACTCCACCGGTTTTTCATATTAAACTATGTTATTCCCTTAACTAAGACGAGTTGATACATACCTCTCTCGTCTCAGTGCGTGCACTATATCGCTCTGTATTGCCGCAAAACTATGTTAGCACTTAGCTTAGCCCAGTGCATTAAATATGGGCCAAAAAGAGAAGTGACCAAACACTTCCTCGTTTTCCCTATTTAAACACAGTTACTCGAGTAGTGTAACTCGACCTAGGCTGGTGACACAAAATAAAACGTTGTGTTTTTCTAAGCGTTTAAAATTGATGACTATATTGTATGGCGGAATACCATAACAAGTGCTTTTGAGCAGTTCGACTTTGCGCAATAATATTATCACTCGTGAAAAGTCCTCTTACCGGCTCCCGCTTCCTCTCCCCCTCCCTCTTATTTCCGTCAATACAACCAACGTGACTTTTACTACCTGTGCTATTAGCAAACTGCAGATCATTTGCAATGGCGGAATTTGTAGATGATTATGACTTCTTTGTAGCAGACCCAGAGCCATATCTGTTTGAACCCGAGTACACGGAGGAGGAATTAGCTATAAAAAATAGTATATATACGTAATATTTTATGACTCTTGCCACAAGATGGCCTTATAGCTCTTTATGGAGGAAATGAACTGTTCCCCTCCCAAAGTCCCATTTGAAGTCAATTTGTGGCAGACTATATACAGGTCCTTCTCAAAAAATTAGCATATTGTGATAAAGTTAATTATTTTCCATAATGTAATGATAAAAATTAAACTTTCATATTCATTGCACACCAACTGAAATATTTCAGGTCTTTTATTGTTTTAATACTGATGATTTTGGCACACAGCTCACGAAAACCCAAAATTCCTGTCTCAAAAAATCTAAACAAGCTATTAAAGGGTTAGTTCACCCAAAAATGAAAATTCTGTCAGTATTTACTCACCCTCATGTTGTTCCAACCCCGTAAGACCTTCGTTCATCTTCGTAACACGAATTAAGATATTTTTGATGAAATCTGAGAGCTGTCTCACTCCTCCATACGTGTGCCGACCTGACTGCTGCTGACTGCCGACTGCTGACTGCCGAACTGACTGCCGACCTGACTGCTGTCCAGAAGGGCATCATTGACACCCTCAAGCAAAAGGGTAAGACAGAAGAAATTTCTGAACAAATAGGCTGTTCCCAGAGTGCTGTATCAAGGCACCTCAGTGGGAAGTCTGCGGGAAGGAAAAAGTGTGGCAAAAAACGCTGCACAACGAGAAGAGGTGACCCTGAGGAAGATTGTGGAGAAGGACCGATTCCAGACCTTGGGGGACCTGCGGAAGCAGTGGACTGAGTCTGGAGTAGAAACATCCAGAGCCACCGTGCACAGGCGTGTGCAGGAAATGGGCTACAGGTGCCGCATTCCCTAGGTCAAGCCACTTTTGAACCAGAAACAGTGGCAGAAGCGCCTGACCTGGGCTACAGAGAAGCAGCACTGGACTGTTGCTCAGTTTTGCATGTCATTCGGAAATCAAGGTGCCAGAGTCTGGAGGAAGACTGGGGAGAAGGAAATGCCAAAATGCCTGAAGTCCAGTGTCAAGTACCCACAGTCAGTGATGGGCTGGGGTGCCATGTCAGCTGCTGGTGTTGGTGCACTGTGTTTTATCAAGGGCAGGGTCAATGCAGCTAGCTATCAGGAGATTTTGGAGCACTTCATGCTTCCATCTGCTGAAAAGCTTTATGGAGATGAAGATTTCATTTTTCAGCACGACCTGGCACCTGCTCACAGTGCCAAAACCACTGGTAAATGGTTTACTGACCATGGTATTACTGTGCTCAATTGGCCTGCCAACTCTCCTGACCTGAACCCCATAGAGGATCTGTGGGATATTGTGAAGAGAAAGTTGAGAGACGCAAGACCCAACACTCTGGATGAGCTTAAGGCCGCTATCGAAGCATCCTGGGCCTCCATAACACCTCAGCAGTGCCACAGGCTGATTGCCTCCATGCCACGCCGCATTGAAGCAGTCATTTCTGCAAAAGGATTCCCGACCAAGTATTGACTATTGAGTGCATAACTGAACATAATTATTTGAAGGTTGACTCTTTTTTTTGTATTAAAAACACTTATTTTATTGGTCGGATGAAATATGCTAATTTTTTTAGACAGGAATTTTGGGTTTTCATGAGCTGTATGCCAAAATCATCAGTATTAAAACAATAAAAGACCTGAAATATTTCAGTTGGTGTGCAATGAATCTAAAATATATGAAAGTTTCATTTTTATCATTACATTATGGAAAATAATGAACTTTATCACAATATGCAAATTTTTTGAGAAGGACTTGTATTTAGACATTACAAAATATTTATTTTTGTTTTGGATATATGTGGGCATTTTTAGTTTTATTTTTCAGCATGTTTTTGGTTTGTATTTATACTGAAGTGGTTTATTTGCAATAATTAAAGTCAGTAAGGTGGACAGCAGGGATTTACAATGCAGAACAACCCAACCCCACACCAATGCGAAATGAATGGTGAAATTATAACAGCATTTTTGGAGCTGTAACAAGTTTTTTATATTATGAATGAAAATCAGCATATTCAAATAAATATTCTTCAAGGTTTTACTGTAACCCCCTCCCCTCCCTGTTTTCAAATCTAACCACTTCATTTGTATGCAGTCTGCATAGTGACTGGTTGATTTTTATTTGAAAAAACAAAAACACATATATTGCCCCTATTATATGATCCTCCATTCATTTTAATGGAAATTCTTATGTGTGTGTGTGTGTGTATATGCATGTGTGATTGGTGTGCTTTGGGGATGTTCTATAGTCTCATGTCTTCATCTGTGTGTGTGTTTGTTCTGGATTGTGCCATTTTCTCATTCATTCCTATTGGGGGCAAATTGACCCGAGAGGGGAGGATTTGGTAGCCTACTATTTTTATTACAACCAATTTTGATTTGATTACAATTTTTGTGTGTATTCAAAGTTTAAGTGTGACAAAAGTCCTAAGGTCTTGGACCACTCCGATGAACACTCGATTTATAAAAATGTTAATGTTTCGGGTCAAAACGACCCGAGGAGAAAGTGCTGTGGCCGCAGTTAAAAAATGTTTTTGCCGCGGGTTGATTTCCATCCCCTTATGTACAATTTTGGTGCTCCAACACAAACAAAACACAACTATGTGTTTTGGGAGCAAAAATACACAGAATTGGTAACAAAGTTTGACCTAAAATGTAAGTTGCTTATATAGCTACTATGTGCCCCGTAAAACTCTGAACATTTTTTTAAAGCTGCAGTTGGCAAGTCTGGAAGATTGAGTGGACTTAGGGAAAATTTTGAATGTTTACAACTCTCATGCCCCTCCCCCACTATCAACGGATACCCTCCCACCGAGTTCATGCTCGTCAGTGCGTGTGCACCAGATTTTCAGTGAACGCGCCCGTCTAATCAGCATCCATCAACACCATGGAGTATTTGGAGGTATGCTGCCCTGGCTAATCTACCGATAGATTGCAATTGCTAACGTCATTTATACTCTAAATGAGCTTACTTGATTTGTTAGTGTTTTGAAAGCGAGATACATCCGCCTTCACTCTTAGTTACTGCGCGAACTGCAGGCGTGTGCATGTGATTGTAACGTGCGCGAGGGGTGGCGTGTGCCCGATCTGTGATTGACAGTCAGATCTCACACCCCCCTGCGCTGATTGGACATGATGAACCGGGAGCTGTGGATTTTTGCAAAACAAATAACACGCTCCAGGTGGAGTTAGAAGCTCGAGTTTTTTTCTAAAACCACTTTATTTATGTTGTTCTGTCGGATTATAGTGTCGATTTCACTGAATATGATCAAAAAAATGTTGCCGACGGCAGCTTTAAAGATTTGATGCCACAAACCTCTTAAACTGAAAAGTAATGTCGATCCTTAATGAAACATTTGCACTGCCTTACCTGACACATCTATATAAACAGCTTTAGTTGAAATCACAGCAAAGTCCTTTGCTGAAAACCTGAAGAAGTAGCGATCTGAATGCCGGCTGGTGAGATTGATCATGACAGAAGTGCAGTTTTTCTTTCGTAAGTCGCCCACCACATTTATCAGAGGTTCCATCTGCCTGTGAGCGTCGGTAAAAGACTCTCTATCATAGAAGTGCCACAGAGTTGCTCGTCTCCAGGTTACCACTGGCGAAAGGTTAAGATATTTTTCGCTCTCCTTTGAAATTTCAAATTGGCAGGGAATCAAAAGGCAGGAGCCGCTGATGGTGTTCAGGGTTTTGGGGACCGATATTTCCATGCTATTAGCAGCTGGAAGATAAATGTGCTATAATGAAATGTTATAAAAATCAATAGGCCTATACATACATTGTCCCTCAAAAATATTTTGACAATTATGCCACAATTAACAATTTATATGCTACATGTCTGCATTATAGGCTATATAGCCTACATTTATTTGAAAGAAAAGCATAAGCACACTTTTCAGTCAACGCACTTCACTCAATGAAGCTTGTTTCAAAATGAACTTTCTGGTTGTCACAATATAGAACATATACACTTCATATACACTCTTAAAAATAAAGGTTTGGAATCTTTGGTTCCATGAACCTTTAATTTTAGGAGTTTATTTATGATAAACATGCATTAACTACCATGAACTAACAATGAGCAATACATTTGTTACAGTATTTATTCATCTTTGTTAATGTTAGTTAATAAAAAGTTCACAGCGCATCAACTAATGTTAACAAATACAACTTTTGATTTTAATAATGTATTAGTAAATGTTGAAATTAACATAAGTCAAGATTAATAAATGTTGTAGAAGTATAGTTCATTCTTAGTCCATGTTAACTAACTAATGAAACCTTATTGTAAAGTGATACCATTTACAAAGTGACTCTGAAAGTGAAGTTACTTCTGAGAAAAGCTCTTGCATTATTTGTTTGTTGATCAATGAATTTCAGACATTTTCAAGTGTGACGTTAGTGTCCAATTATGTTTTTTTTTGAGGTCGAGGTCATTGTTAGTTCAATTATATTCTTAATGAAAACATAAAACAAGACCAACCTGATATAATGGTGCTGAATACAAGGAAATCTGCAGCAAGCATTCTGAGAATCACCTGATGAGTAGAAATAATGAAGATTAAATGTAGCATCTTTTTTATAGTCATTTGTCTTGACAGTTGTTTACAACTAAATCATTTCTCATTTAAAACCCGTTTGATAGTTTACCTTAAATATATTTTCATGAGACTACAGCGACCCAGATAAGTGTGCCCTTTACTTCAGTTGTGGTGAAGTCAGTGTATAACCAGAAACTGCCCAGAGCATGAATAAGCCTGCAATGAACTAACACCATTTTTTTATATAGATGGTATATCTAATTTAAATCAGCAAAAGATGTTGCAAGCTCTGATCGAGATATTTGATTACGCCTTACATGAGAAAAACATTTTACTTCTGCTTTTTGCATTTATTTCATTTCATGTTTAAGGTTTCAGCCAGGACTTTATTAAATATGGTGTACATAAAAATTAAGAGTTCCCAAGAAATGAAAACATCAGAAAGAACAAGAAACCATAGATGAATGAAAAGAGCAGGATGGGATGAAATGAACCTAATACAGAGGAATTTGTTACATTGTAGCCAAATATGTTATTGTTTCTATACTGCAGATTCATAATTCATAGATTCAAATTGTTGCAGTGTTGATGATATGCCAACTAACTGTTTTAATATTTTTGTCTAACCTAAACTTTACCCTGATCTTGCTCTTGATGTTAAACTGTTAAAATATAGCCCATCTCAGACTAAAATAGACGTTTGAGCTGTTTTAACTGAAAGCTACTTGCACTGACATATCCTAAAATATGTCACTGTTACTGTTTTGTCTAAAGATCCACACCAGTAACGTTTTTATCTGAGGCATGTTTATAAAAGCCACTTAAATGCCCTAATCGAACTAAGGCCTAATGCTGGCTTAATCCCTGTCTGTGAAACCGGGCTAAAAGGCTTTTGAATTATGTAAAAAAAAAAAACCCAACAACAAACCCTGCTGTGGTCCTTGCAGCATTAGCTCTTTTTATCACACTTTTTTTTTTTTATGGTTTGCATTGTGCATTGATGCAACCAAGAAAATTTGATGAAGTAAAAAAATTTGCAGAGAAAAACAGTCCATGCTTTTAACACTTTTAGATGACTACAGAAAAAAAAATGCATTCTTGTTTATTTCAAACCATCTATTAGTTTTATATCAAATAAAATGTTGGAAAAGAGTAGTGTGGAAATTCTGCAAAACATCTCCTTTAATGTCCCACAGAAGAAATATAGTCATACTGGTTTGGAATGACATTAGGCGAGGGTGAGTGAATTAATTTATACATGAATTAAACATAATTAATGAATCAAACAGTTTTTATTTTTGAGAGTATTAACCTTTTAAGTTTTCCATGAGACTGACCAGCAGCCCTGGCAAAAGTGACGAGTGTTTACTATGTGAATAAACTTTGTTACATTGGTGTGAAAATCTATCACAGAAAACAGTAGTTCCCCGATTTTTCTCACAACAAACATCTCAAACCAAACCTACACAATTGATTTAGAGTTTACTATGACAATCTTTCTCTTAAATGTCTTATGCAAAAAGCAGAAGTGAAATATTTATCAAGCTTAATCCTGCACTTGACCAAGGAAGGGTTTAAAGCTAAGTTCACAGTTTAGTGCACATTAAAAACTGAGAGAACTTTCAAAAAATATTTATATAGAAGACAAAATAACTAACTGAACTGAATTAGTTGATTTTTCGCATTTTCATAATCTCACTCTGGGCAGGGGCGGAAGGACCAAAAAGGTTCCTTTTTTTTTTTTTATCCTTTATTTCCTTGAAAATATGTTGATACAATTAGGATGCAAAACACATCAAACGAAAATAGGGAAATTATTATAATATTACTAAATATTATTTACTTTACCAAAAAAAACAGTGAGAATAAAGAAGGTAATTATGAGGAATTCATGTTTAGTTTGGTTGATGTGGTAAATTTTATGGATGTATTACATGCATATAGTGGCCTATTGTGGAAAACAATAGTTTTCGGCAGTTTCTCTCAGTGGCTGACTAGATACACCACAGTGTGTCGCAGAACATTGGCCACAAAAAGTAGAAAACCTTGCTGTGGAGCGATGCAGGAAGCGAAAGACTGTGTTATGTGTGTATATGTGTCACGACGATCAGAAGCAAGTCCTGTTACGGCGATGGCCATTTTGTGTGTTCGGGCCGCACTTTGCTCTCCATCCCATTGAGGTTATTATAGTTTAGCATTTTTAAATTAGTTTTTATTTTAATACCGTTTTAAATGTTTCAATAAATTTCAGTTTAGTTTTAGTTAGTTTCATTAATGGCTTTGTTAGTTTTAGTTTAAGTGTTTATTTTGTAAACACATTTATATACATTTAGTTTCAGTTTTAGCAATTATAGTTTAGAAGAGTTAACTACACATCCAGTGCACCAACGCAAGAGATTTAATTTCAGCAAAGTTTAATGTTTGCAACTCTTGTGCAGACATCTTAATAATAAAAATAAAGTGGTTTGAGATTGAACAAAGGACCAAATAATGCTTAAAAAGCATAAGAGTAAAAATTATGAGAGATTCAGATAAACTCATTCATATTAAAGATGAAATCTTGTTAAACTTACCTGGTTTACAATGAAGCAGTGTGTACATCCAAAAAATCAACAAAACAGTTCAAGTCATCTACAGCAAACACAACCTGCTGTGAAGGCAGTGTGAGAGTGAGTGTGAGAGTTAGAATGAGTGTGAGAGTGAGGGCCTTTCCAAATTCCCACACTTGCATTCCACTATAAGTTAAATTAATTAGATATTAAATGTAATTTGGTACAAATTAAGTTAAATAAATTAGATATTACATGTAATTTGGTAGTAAGACAAATGGTTAAAGTGTCATTTTATTGGTGCAAATGAGCAGGCTATGTGTATTTTGTACATCATGTGCAACTGCTTTTTGTCACTTAATTAAAGCACCACAAATTTAAATTGTGTCTTCTTTTACATAGGGACTACTGACCAGACATTTAGAAGTTTCTTTAAAAAATACAAAGTATTGAAAATAAAAAAAAATCTCCGTAAACATTTGCATTTTTGTCCCATTGGGTAATCAAAAGTTCTACACACACTTATAGTCTTCCTGCCTATTTTAACACTTGAGTCAAATACAGGAAATACGTCATGTAAGTGTGTGGGTATTTGGAAAGGCCCTGAGTGTGAGAGTGAGGGTGTGTTGTCTTAGTATTTCCTACATTGGGGAAATGTCTGCACATGGATAATATTATTTGCAGTAAATGTTTTGTAAAAACCGATAATAACAGCAGCTAATAAGAGGATAATTGTTGTTAGTTTTTCAGTAAGAGTTGTTTGTTTCGTTTCGTTTTTCATTTATTATGACATTTTTATTTTATTTCAGTTGGTTTTTTGACCAATCTTTTTAGTCTTGGTTTCAGTTTTCGTTTATGAAAATAACCTTGCAACCATGAGTCCACTGCAGAGCCCGCTTCAGCCCACGAGTCCACTCCGCCTGCTCCGCCGTGGTGGTCTCCGCTGTTATTGAAGTAATTGAATGCGATCATCCAGGATTCTATTGTGTTCTGGACAAGTCTGGACAGAAGGAGCTATTGTTCACATCAAGGCAGTGGCAACAGATTTGACACAGGGGGAGAAGATGGTCACCCTCAGCTCTGTTGTTCCATCTGTTCTTTCTGTGAATCACCACTTGGAGAAGCTGAAATCTCAGGTCTGGTTCTTAAGCAGCCTGGTCAGTAGTTACATTACATTTATAGCAGACGCTTTTCTCCAAAGCCACTTACAAATGAGAACAATGGACCACTTGCACTGAACTTCGTGACGCACTTCCGTTTGGAAACAATACATATCACTTATTTCCGGTTATGTTTACTTTCAATGTACTGTGGTCAATGAGTTGAACAAACGCCAACTAAAAAAAGTGTCTATAATAATATTTTATATTTTGGACTTTTTTATTGACAGAAGAAGGGATGATCTGATGTTTACTGTGTGCAGAATTGTCAAAACTCATCGGAACATGAAGTTTTATCCAATCCAAGCCAATCTGAGAAAGCTGCGGCTGTTAAAAATACGCCATTATTTCACCACAGGGTGTCAGTGTTCGTCTAAACTAGTGACCGCGACGCTGAAATGTGTGAGAACAGATGAATAACATCAGTACGAACCACGAACATTTATTTATTTGGATTAAATATTGTAATCATTCAGTGTCATTTTTCAATGTCAATCGTTTCACTATTTACATGTTCATGCCCAAAATGCTTAATTAATATTCAAAGAAGTTGACTGTCAATGTAATACTGTTAATGAGAAGACATAGGACTGCTGCAGGTTAGTGAATAAATATATATTTATTATTCAGAATGTAACAGTTGGAAAGAAAATATATTTATAGGAACATTTCAGCAGGCTCAAGATAATTAATACAGAGATCATTATTCATTGTTTTAATCAATTGGCATCCATAAAACGTAGTGATAATCTGCATTCTCATGTATGGACGTGCGATGAACACTCTAACCGGAAACTCCCGATATGTAATAAGTAGAACGCGGAAGTAGTTTTGTGCAAGTAGTGCATAGAAGCAGTGAAACTAACAATAGGACAACAATATGCAAGTGCTGACCCTTCCCAGCTTAATCTAACGCAGTATATGTATTAATGGATCAGGTGTTGCCCGCAAGTATGTTTGCAAGCATCCCCGATCAAAAGATTGCTTGGAATCGTCATCAATTTTACCCATCCAATCTGACAACACTGATTTGAACGCTCTATTTGAAGGGGCGTGTCTGCTGTGAGACTTCAGTGTAAACACCCACTGCTGTGATTTACTAACATCTTTGCAATTTACATAGCCAAGAATTACATGTGGAAGTCTCTTTTAAAACTTTTAGCACTTTTTACTATTACAGCTCTCAAGGTGAAAAGTGTTCAAAAAAGTGATCTATGGAATTATATTTAGATTGTGGCTTGAAAGGTCCCAGTAATGAGCATGGTAGCCGATCACAGACATTTTGAGTCATTGCTACTCGATTTCTGCACTCTCACGAATGCTTTTATCATAACTAAAGCCACCTTTCCATTGCACATGATAAACGACAGCCTTGGACCAGAAGTCGTTAATTTGCTATGGAGAGTCGCACAGGGGCTGCGTAGATCAGTGTGAGAATTATTTAACCGTTTAACTGTATCAGAAACACTTTAAAAACTTTTTAAAATACATGG